AGGGACAAGAAGGGGGGCTTAGAGTTGGGCGTGGTCTGGGCTGTGATTGCCAGCTGACTTGTCACAAAAAAAAAAACAGACAGTTGTCATTGCTGCTCAAAGCAATAGTTTACAGACCAGAAAGTCTCATTCCACCCTTGTTTACACACTAAGATAATTGTAAAGCTACACACCTGAACCTAATCACACTCAATAATCTCAGAATGACTCGCGTAATTTAATTTTAATCCACTAGATGGCGCCAGAATACTCCAAACTGCAGCTGGGGCGTGTGTGAGAGTTGAATGGGTTTATATCACTGGCTCTGACAGACTGACGTCACACAAAACAACTGATGTCATAGAGAACTTCAGAGTCGATGGAGAGGCCAGAACCAAATTCAAATGTAGTACCACCAGAAAGGTAGAGAGGGCACCACACAGCGTTTTTTGGCTCAAAAGTGATATTTTATCTAATTTGAACTAAAATGTCAAGAAAATGACCAGGATATGTAGACAGCACTACAATAAACATACTTATGCAGTTTATGAGTTTAAAAAAAGTTGATTTGGTGTTTAGTCGCTCTTTAAGCCACACTCCACACCTGTTAAGGGCTGCAGTCTGTGTGTGGCTAGTATGATTTGTCCTTATGTAAATGTCTGTCATTGTCACAAGTGTTGGCAATGACTTTAAAGACATAGTCCTTGTGGCTTTGGTCTGTCTCTTTTTATTTGTCACTTTGAGGTTTTATTTTTGTGACAATTCGCTTTTGTGGAGACAACAGTCAGTTTAGTGTAATGGTATGTATAAAAGGTTTAGGCTAGTTTGTTTTGGTAGCGTTGAGTCACCCCCTTATGTTTGTGTAAGCTCTGTCGTACAGGGATTAGTCAAAGCATCGGAAGGTTTCTCACCCATCATCTGCACTTCTGAGCAGGTTTTCCCGACGATGAAGGACGAAAACGTCGGGAAAACCTGCTGAGAAGTACAGATGATGGGTGAGAAAACCTTCCGTTGCTTTTACCCCCTTACGTCCTGTTTTGTGTTCTTCTGATTTATGTCAACATGTCATTAACATTCCTGTTATTAAATACTTTCTTTGCCATATAACATCTTGGATTATTGCTACCTCCGTTACCCTGGCAGAGCTGGGTCGTAACACAAGTACAAAAATAAAACAAGGTTAAAATCTATAACAAACAAAACAGGAAACGATTGTCACTGTGTAATCAATGTTTCAATATAAGAGCAAGATCATTTTAAAGTGCTCTGTTTAAACTGATAACAGCTTGTGTCAAGAAGCCGTTAGCAAAACGAGATGTCCTGCATTTCATCGAACGATTGCTTCTGCCAGAGGGAAGAAGCTGGAACATGGCTTTTCCAGGGTGGCCAGAAGAGTCGTTGATAATTCTTAGAGCTTGGTTTAAAAGTCTGGATTTATAAAGAACCTCCAGAACAGGAAGCTCACAGCTCACAGTCCTTTCTCTGGCCTCCCTCTGGTCTCTCTCTAGTCTCTCTCTCTGGCCTCTCTATGGTCTCTATGGTCTCTCTCTCTGGTCTCTCTCTGGCCTCTTTCTGGTCTCTCTCTCTGGCCTCTTTCTGGTCTCTCTCTCTGGCCTCTCTCTGGTCTCTCTCTGGCCTCTTCTGGTGTCTTTCTGGTCTCTCTCTCTGGCCTCTTCTGGTCTCTCTCTGGCCTCTCTCTGGTCTCTCTCTGGTCTCTCTCTGGTCTCTCTTTCTGGTGTCTCTCTCTGGCCTCTCTCTGGTCTCTCTCTCTGGTCTCTCTCTCTGGTCTCTCTCTCTGGCCTCTTCTGGTCTCTTTCTGGTCTCTCTCTCTGGCCTCTTCTGGCCTCTCTCTGGCCTCTCTCTGGCCTCTCTCTGGTCTCTCTCTGGTCTCTCTCTCTGGTCTCTCTCTCTGGCCTCTTCTGGTCTCTTTCTGGTGTCTCTCTCTGGCCTCTCTCTGGTCTCTCTCTCTGGTCTCTCTCTCTGGTCTCTCTCTCTGGCCTCTTCTGGTCTCTTTCTGGTCTCTCTCTCTGGCCTCTTCTGACCTCTCTCTGGTCTCTCTCTGGCCTCTCTCTGGTCTCTCTCTGGCCTCTCTCTGGTGTCTCTCTCTGGTCTCTCTTTCTGGTGTCTCTCTCTGGCCTCTCTCTGGTCTCTCTCTCTGGTCTCTCTCTCTGGTCTCTCTCTCTGGCCTCTTCTGGTCTCTTTCTGGTCTCTCTCTCTGGCCTCTTCTGGCCTCTCTCTGGCCTCTCTGGCCTCTCTCTGGCCTCTCTCTGGTCTCTCTCTGACCTCTCTCTGGTCTCTCTCTGGTCTCTCTCTGGTCTCTCTGGCCTCTCTCTGGTCTCTCGCTGGTCTCTCTCTGGCCTCTCTCTGGTCTCTCTCTCTGGTCTCTCTTTCTGGTGTCTCTCTCTGGCCTCTCTCTGGCCTCTCTCTGGTCTCTCTCTGGCCTCTCTCTGGTCTCTCTCTGGCCTCTCTCTGGTCTCACAGCTCACAGTCCTCTTTGCAGAGCGGGGCACCTTATTTAGAGCTCTCCTTTCTTTGGCTGTGATGTCACCAAACCACACAGTCACAGAACCAACAAGCAAACTCTCAATGGTGCAGTGATAAAAGTTAAGCAGAGTCTTAGTTTCCTGGTTAGTGTTTTTGTCCCATTTCAGGTCAGTAGACTGAGTTAAAATAACGTTACGGCTAAAATCAAAGGCAAGTTCACATGTTTCGGAGGTGTTAAGCTGGAGGTTGTTAGCTTTGCTCCACTGAACACTCTGGATTTCTGCTCTGTAAGAGGATTCATTATTATCACTGATGAAACCTGAAACCAATGATTGTGGAGTCATCAGGGTATTTAATGATTAAGTTAGAGTCAGAGGAAGACACACAATCATGACTGTACAATGTAGAAAGCAAAGGACCCAAAATACATCCCTGAGGAGAGCCAGTGCTCACAGAAACATCTCTAAAACATTGATATTGACTCAGATCTGTCAGTTAAAAAGCTAAAAATCCACTTACACATGGCATCACTCAAACCAAGAAGATATTTTATTCTATTTTGTTACCCGCTTAGCCTGTTCTGTCACCTAAATAAATTGTGATTTTAGTTACCATTTCTATATCTTGTTTTTTTTTTTACTTCCAAACACCCAGGATCAAGCCCATGATCTCTCTTCTTTGTGACACATGTTTAAACGCAGAAGGGTCTGGGATCTCAGCCTTCCATTTGATAAAAATATGGTTTTAATTGTTGTTGCACAAATATCCAAGATTACTTGTAGTGATGGATTGTTTTGAATATAACAGTAGCTCAGTTGGTAGAGCATTGGCCTTTGAGCTAGAGGGTCGTGGGTTCGATCCCGACTTTCACCAACGACTCCCACTGTCTGCTGTCGTTGTGTCCTTGGGCAAGACACTTAACCTCTGGGAACACCAGCCACAGTGGGGTGGCTGTAAAGTGCCAAACTGCCATGTTGTCCTTAGGCAAGACACTTCCCCGACATTAGAATGAGTCTGGTGTGTGTGTGAATGGTTGGTGGTGGTGGGAGGGGCCGATGGCACAGACTGGTTGCCTCGCTTCTGTCAGTGTGCCCCAGGGCAGCTGTGGCTACAGTAGTAGTTTATCACCACCATGTTTGGAGTGAATGAATAATGACATTTAAAGCGTCTTTGAGTGTCCAAAAAAGTGCTGTATAAAACCGATGCATTATTATTATTATTATTATAAAGGGTAGTGAAATATTACTGTTTTATTTAGTGAAATAGCCGAGAGCGTGTACACTTCTGTTCAGTAGATGTGGTCTTTTGATGTTTTTTTGTTTTTTTAAAGCATAATGTAATTTTAATGTTAATGATATTAACAGCGGGCATGAGTCAGATTATAACGACCCAGTGATGTTTGCAGTGACGCAGGCCGCCTCTGTCACGACTTTAAGATCCGGCTGGTTTCAAATCACAGAAGAATCATTGCGTCTAGAAGTGGTTTGGCCTTTCATCTTCTCCTCTCTGATAGCACTGCTCAGACTCTCCCAAACCAGGACGACACATGGTGTGACTGGACCTGGCTGTCATTTCTACTGACGACGACAAACACGCTCACACACACATTATTATTATTATTATTATTCTCAAGCATGACCGCCTCAGCACTAGTCCTCACTCAACCGAGAGCTGATGTGATGGAGGCTGATTGTGAAAAGCAGGGTCACTTTGATCTGTCTCTACTCGTGAAATTAAGCCAACAGCAACAGTCTGCCAATGTATGAAGACTATTTCTATCCAGGTTTTTGCCTGGTGCTGTATACCCCATTGTTGTTGCATGTTTTTATATTTTCTCTTTACTTTTCACTTTATTGATCCTCAAGGGAAAAACATTGAGGCACAGTAGCTGGCAAAAAAAGTGAAATGGACAAAACATTGATGTCAAAAGGAGTGTACTGGTGAAATGTTCAAATTGTTGTTAAAATAACTTGAAATACAGGCCAAGGATTACAATCTTATCTGAACCAATATTTGTTTTAGAGAAAGTGGGCCAAAGTGTATGGTAACGTCCAACTTATTTCCTTCAAACGCTACACACATTGCTTAGCTTGCAATTTGTTTTATCTGTGCAATTCAGGGTTAGAAAGGGGTTTTTAATTTTTAGATGTGTTGTATATATGTTTTACATATATTTGATTGGTAATGAACATCTGTAAAAACCATGTAGATATGCCAGATTACACCAAACATGCTCATTTCCATCTATTGTCCCGAGGCAGCAAACAACAAGGGCTGTTTGCAAAGTTTTATGTCATAAAACATTGCGAACCTCCTTGTAATACCCACCAAAGCTACATTGATTCTGAATCCTTCCTCCGCTCTATTTACTCAGCAATGCTTCTGTGTGTAGTGTTACCAAAAACCTTTTGTGTGTCGACAAGTCCAGACGAGCGCTGTGGAGCCTAGACTAGTTTACATTCTTCAGCCACTGCAAAAGTCACAAGCCCGTTCCTCTTGTTTTTGTATCATTCAATAATGTCTCTTACTCACTATCCATGCACTCGACTGCGGAGGTGGGAGCAGAGGTGGAGGTGGGAGCAGAGGTGGAGGTGGGAGCAGAGGTGGAGGTGGGAGCAGAGGTGGAGGTGGGAGCAGAGGTGGAGGTGGGAGCAGAGGTGGAGGTGGGAGCAGAGGTGGAGGTGGGCGCAGAGGTGGAGGCGGGCGCAGAGGTGGAGGCGGGCGCAGAGGTGGAGGCGGGCGCAGAGGTGGAGGCGGGCGCAGAGGTGGAGGCGGGCGCAGAGGTGGAGGCGGGCGCAGAGGTGGAGGCGGGCGCAGAGGCGGGCGCAGAGGCGGGCGCAGAGGCGGGCGCAGAGGCGGGCGCAGAGGCGGGCGCAGAGGCGGGCGCAGAGGCGGGCGCAGAGGTGGAGGCGGGCGCAGAGTTGGGCGCAGAGGTGGGGGCAGAGGTGGAGGCAGGCGCAGAAGTGGGCGCAGAGGTGGGCGCAGAGGTGGAGGCGGGCGCAGAGGCGGGCGCAGAGGTGGGGCAGAGGTGGGGGCAGAAGTGGGGGCAGAAGTGGGCGCAGAGGTGGGCGCAGAGGTGGGCGCAGAGGTGGGCGCAGAGGTGGGCGCAGAGGTGGGCGCAGAGGTGGGGGCAGAGGTGGGGGCAGAGGTGGTGGGGCAGAGGTGGGGGCAGAGAGGTGGGCGCAGAGGTGGGCGCAGAGGTGGGCGCAGAGGTGGGCGCAGAGGTGGGCGCAGAGGTGGGGGCCGAGGTGGGAGCAGAGGTGGAGGTGGGAGCAAAGGTGGAGGTGGGAGCAGAGCAGAGGCGGGCGCAGAGGCGGGCGCAGAGGTGGAGGTGGAGGGGCGCAGAGGTGGAGGTGGAGGCAGGCGCAGAGGTGGAGGCGGGCGCAGAGGTGGAGGCGGGCGCAGAAGTGGGCGCAGAGGTGGGCGCAGAGGTGGGCGCAGAGGTGGGCGCAGAGGTGGGCGCAGAGGTGGGCGCAGAGGTGGAGGCGGGCGCAGAGGTGGGCGCAGAGGTGGAGGCGGGCGCGGAGGTGGGCGCAGAGGTGGGCGCAGAGGTGGGCGCAGAGGTGGGCGCAGAGGTGGGCGCAGAGGTGGGGGCCGAGGTGGGAGCAGAGGTGGAGGTGGGAGCAGAGGTGGAGGTGGGCGCAGAGGTGGGCGCAGAGGTGGGGGCCGAGGTGGGAGCAGAGGCAGAGGTGGGCGCAGAGGTGGGCGCAGAGGTGGGCGCAGAGGTGGGCGCAGAGGTGGGAGCAGAGGTGGGAGCAGAGGTGGGCGCAGAGGTGGGCGCAGAGTGGCGCAGGTGGGGGCAGAGGTGGGGGCAGAGGTGGGGGCAGAGGGGGGGCAGAGGTGGGCGCAGAGGTGGGCGCAGAGGTGGGCGCAGAGGTGGGGGCCGAGGTGGGAGCAGAGGTGGAGGTGGGAGCAAAGGTGGAGGTGGGAGCAGAGGCGGGCGCAGAGGCGGGCGCAGAGGCGGGCGCAGAGGCGGGCGCAGAGGCGGGCGCAGAGGCGGGCGCAGAGGTGGAGGCGGGCGCAGAGTTGGGCGCAGAGGTGGGGGCAGAGGTGGGGGCAGAGGTGGAGGCAGGCGCAGAAGTGGGCGCAGAAGTGGGCGCAGAGGTGGGCGCAGAGGTGGAGGCGGGCGCAGAGGCGGGCGCAGAGGTGGGGGCAGAGGTGGGGGCAGAAGTGGGGGCAGAAGTGGGCGCAGAGGTGGGCGCAGAGGTGGGCGCAGAGGTGGGCGCAGAGGTGGGCGCAGAGGTGGGCGCAGAGGTGGGCGCAGAGGTGGGGGCAGAGGTGGGGGCAGAGGTGGGGGCAGAGGTGGGCGCAGAGGTGGGCGCAGAGGTGGGCGCAGAGGTGGGCGCAGAGGTGGGGGCCGAGGTGGGAGCAGAGGTGGAGGTGGGAGCAAAGGTGGAGGTGGGAGCAGAGGCGGGCGCAGAGGCGGGCGCAGAGGCGGGCGCAGAGGTGGAGGTGGAGGCGGGCGCAGAGGTGGAGGTGGAGGCAGGCGCAGAGGTGGAGGCGGGCGCAGAGGTGGAGGCGGGCGCAGAAGTGGGCGCAGAGTGTGGGCGCAGAGGTGGGCGCAGAGGTGGGCGCAGAGGTGGGCGCAGAGGTGGAGGCGGGCGCAGAGGTGGGCGCAGAGGTGGAGGTGGGCGCAGAGGTGGGCGCAGAGGTGGGCGCAGAGGTGGGCGCAGAGGTGGGCGCAGAGGTGGGCGCAGAGGTGGGCGCAGAGGTGGGGGCCGAGGTGGGAGCAGAGGTGGAGGTGGGAGCAGAGGTGGAGGTGGGCGCAGAGGTGGGCGCAGAGGTGGGGGCCGAGGTGGGAGCAGAGGCAGAGGTGGGCGCAGAGGTGGGCGCAGAGGTGGGCGCAGAGGTGGGCGCAGAGGTGGGCGCAGAGGTGGGAGCAGAGGTGGGAGCAGAGGTGGGCGCAGAGGTGGGCGCAGAGGTGGGGCAGAGGGGGGGCAGAGGTGGGGGCAGAGGTGGGGGCAGAGGTGGGGGCAGAGGTGGGCGCAGAGGTGGGCGCAGAGGTGGGCGCAGAGGTGGGGGCCGAGGTGGGAGCAGAGGTGGAGGTGGGAGCAAAGGTGGAGGTGGGAGCAGAGGCGGGCGCAGAGGCGGGCGCAGAGGCGGGCGCAGAGGCGGGCGCAGAGGTGGAGGTGGAGGCGGGCGCAGAGGTGGAGGTGGAGGCAGGCGCAGAGGTGGAGGCGGGCGCAGAGGTGGAGGCGGGCGCAGAAGTGGGCGCAGAGGTGGGCGCAAAGGTGGGCGCAGAGGTGGGCGCAGAGGTGGAGGCGGGCGCGGAGGTGGGCGCAGAGGTGGGCGCAGAGGTGGGCGCAGAGGTGGGCGCAGAGGTGGGGGCCGAGGTGGGAGCAGAGGTGGAGGTGGGAGCAGAGGTGGAGGTGGGCGCAGAGGTGGGCGCAGAGGTGGGGGCCGAGGTGGGAGCAGAGGCAGAGGTGGGCGCAGAGGTGGGCGCAGAGGTGGGCGCAGAGGTGGGCGCAGAGGTGGGAGCAGAGGTGGGAGCAGAGGTGGTGGGCGCAGAGGTGGGCGCAGAGGTGGGCGCAGAGGTGGATGTGGGCGCAGAGGTGGAGGTGGGCGCAGAGGTGGAGGTGGGCGTGGAGGTGGGCGCAGAGGTGGAGGTGGGCGCAGAGGTGGGCGCAGAGGTGGGCGCAGAGGTGGGCGCAGAGGTGGTGGGCGCAGAGGTGGGCACAGAGGTGGGCGCAGAGGTGGAGGTGGGCGCAGAGGTGGAGGTGGGCGCAGAGGTGGAGGTGGGCGCAGAGGTGGGCGCAGAGGTGGGCGCAGAGGTGGGCGCAGAGGTGGGCGCAGAGGTGGGCGCAGAGGTGGGAGCAGACGTGGGAGCAGACGTTCTGTCTGTGGTAACCTTCGATCAGTGTTTTTTGCCTGTGCCAAACTGTGCAGCTGATAACTCCCTCACACATATCCACCTCCGGAGCTTATCAGTCCAACGTGCTGCAAGCGGCGGTCAGCAGAAAAAGCTGCCGGGACTGGAAGTGCTCTGTTCTGTACATAAAGGTGCAATGTTTACAGAGCTTGAACACTATTGGAGGTGGGCTTTGAAGTCATGGCCTCTTAAAAAATGACATTGATGATCAAACAAAAATGGGCAAATCTTATTAGAGCATTCTATACATGAAAAATATTCTCTGTGCAAATGTGACTCCATTCTGTGCTGTGTTCTGAATTTTTATTGGAGCTGCATCTGTAATCCTGCCGTTGTTGTCAAGCCGACCCTGGATAAAGCAGGAGATAATTGGTGTATCCAAATTAATTGGCCTGATAATGCTGGCGCTATAAAAAATGCCTCCCATCAGTGCTTGTAACTCACAGCAAGAAGGTCCTGGGTACGATTCCAGGCTTTTCTATGTGGAGTTTGCATGTTCTCCCTGCTCCAGTTTCCTACCAGTAACATTACTCACTGACTTCATCCCTTGTCTTTTTCCTTCCTCTTGGACTTTTTCTAACATCTAACACCCTGTATGATCTTATCGAAGCCATATGTAACGTAAAATTCTCCTTTCAGATCAACAAATCTTATTGTATCTTATCTTCCTTGCTCTCTAATCAGTTTAGTTCAACCACACATGTGTTTTGGCCTCTGTCAGTCCAAAGACTCAAGGTTCTTTGTTTTCTAAGATGATGAAGACAGCCTTTTGTGGACATCATTTAATTCTTACATTACGATTCTGTTGAACTAAATGGGTTAGTCCACGTATATATATAAATCAAGTCAGATCAAACTTAATTTAACACACAAGGGAATATTCATCTACATAAAATCAAAAATAAAAAGTACATAGTATATGAAGTTCAACGTTCAGTGTTCTTTTGACTCCTCCCTCTTGTTGTGAGTCCTAGGTGCTACAGTGAGGCCAGGCAGTGTTCCGACAGTCCCAGTGCTCTCACTCCTGTCACTGATCCGCCTTTAAGCTCTGTGTCGTCAAAAAGCTCTCAAAACTCCCCTTTAATCCTCCGCAGCCTGCACCCTCTTAACACCCTCCTCTCCCTCGCATCTCCCCCATGTCTCCGACGTTTCCTGTTTTACAAGACCGCCAGCGATATTTATGTTCTCACTCGCCCTCCTGCCAATTCCTTTTCTATTTTTTGTGTCCAAAAATACATTCAGGAAGATGTAGCGTCTTTCGTATTGTTACTTGTGAAATGTGAAACGGCTACAAAAAGTTGCGAGATGATGAATCAGACTGGATCCTGATATGATCCTGCACCAATGTTGTGTTTGCAGATAATTGAGTGAAAGTCAGATTCATTCACCAGAGACAAATTCTATACTTGACAAGGAGAAAAAGGTGAATCCGAGGTATAGGGTTGCCCATGTTGATACAGTTAAACACAACATATTCATTTTCACAGCTCGATAATCCAAATATATTCAAATCCATGTAGTTTGAAGACATGACAGAGGCAGGTGGTACCTACCCAGTGTTGGATGGTTTTCAGCTCTAAAGGTACAATATAAACATACATTTCTGTAAAAATGTTCTCATAATATTTATTCACATATGTACAGTGCCTTGCCAAAGTATTCGGCCCCCTTGAACCGTTCAACATTTCGCCATATTTCAGTCTTCAAACATAAAGATATAAAAAAAATATTTTTTGTCATGAATCAACAAGTGGGACACAATCGTGAAGTGGAATGACATTTATTGGATAATTTAAACTTTTTTAACAAATAAAAAACTGAAAAGTGGGGCGTGCAATATTATTCGGCCCCTTTACTTTCAGTGCAGCAAACTCAGTCCAGAAGTTCAGTGAGGATCTTTGAATGATCCAATGTTGTCCTAAATGACTGATGATGATAAATAGAATGCACCCGTGTGTGATCAAGTCTCCGTATAAATGCACCTGCTCTTTGATAGTCTCAGGGTTCTGTTTAAAGCACAGAGAGAACCATGAAGACAAAGGAACACACCAGGCAGGTCCGAGATACTGTTGTGGAGAAGTTTAAAGCCGGATTTGGATACAAAAAGATTTCCCAAGCTTTAAACATCTCAAAGAGCACTGTGCAAGCAATTATATTGAAATGGAAGGAGTATCAGACCACTGCAAATCTACCAAGACCCGGCCGTCCCTCCAAACTTTCATCTCAAACAAGGAGAAGACTGATCAGAGATGCAGCCAAGAGGCCCATGATCACTCTGGATGAACTGCAGATAACTACAGCTGGGTGTAGGCAGGGCACTTTCATGGATACTCTGGTGTTCGGAGTTTGTACTGGATTCTGTGATGGATGAGGAGCCGGTGCAGGGAGCGGAGGACAGGGGTTATGTGCTCGTTTTTGCGCTCCACGTCAGCACCCTGGCTGCACAGTTATGACTTTGGAGCTTTTGCAGGCTCTTGCCAGGGTACCCCACATATATTTGCATACACAAGGCATATATTTCTTTAAAAAGGTAAATATTGCATATATATTTTGTTTTGGTAACGTTTCAGGTGAGATGACGCCTTTACAATCACACAGGGTTTCAGAATATATTTTCTACTGAAGATCATCTGATAATTAACTGATAATTGTGTCATCATAGGTGTCATATTAAGCAGACTCTGGAATAGGTGTGGGGCGACAGTAGCTCAGTTGGTAGAGCATTGGCCTTAAGCCCAGAAGGTCATGGGTTCAATTCCCACCTCTGCACCTTCTCCACCGACTCCCACTGATGACTGCTGTCGTTGCTGAAAGATCAAGGCTATGCTCACACTCAGAGAGCAGCCGTCCTCCTGTGGACTCACCACCTGCAGAGGGTCAGTGAGGGGCTGGTGCTATGAGACTTGGGTGGCATCTCTGACTGCCACCCCCCTGACCCAGAAATGGATTAAAGGGTAGAAAATGGATGGATGGATGGATGGAATAGGTGTTTCATATCACAATGTTCTTTGTAAAAATTGGCCTTATTCAGACTTCTGGCTAGTACTGCATATTTTATGCAAATTTTATCAAAATAACAGCAACATGAGAGTTCTTCAGGGCAGCACACAGGTGAGAGCGGCTTGAATGGATCAAAGGCCGTGTTCCCTCTGACATGACAAATATATACACTAGACACAGCTGTTCACATACACACAATAACTGACAACATACACACAATAACTGACAACATACACACAATAACTGACAACATACACACAATAACTGACAACATACACACAATAACTGACAACATACACACAATAACTGACAACATACACACAATAACTGACAACATACACACAATAACTGACAACATACACACAATAACTGACAACATACACACAATAACTGACAACATACACACAATAACTGACAACATACACGCAATAACTGACAACATACACGCAATAACTGACAACATACACGCAATAACTGACAACATACACGCAATAACTGACAACATACACGCAATAACTGACAACATACACGTAATAACTGACAACATACACGCAATAACTGACAACATACACGCAATAACTGACAACATACACTCAATAACTGACAACATACACGCAATAACTGACAACATACACGCAATAACTGACAACATACACACAATAACTGACAACATACACGCAATAACTGACAACATACACTCAATAACTGACAACATACACTCAATAACTGACAACATACACTCAATAACTGACAACATACACTCAATAACTGACAACATACACGCAATAACTGACAACATACACGCAATAACTGACAACATACACGCAATAACTGACAACATACACACAATAACTGACAACTGATGATGGTTGTTGTGGTCTATTAGTTACATTATATTCATTTTTAAAAACATGAACAAACTGCAATGTGAACTATGTGAGCCTATAACATGGTTTAGACTTAATTATGGAATTTGATTTTATTTTGTATTAGTTGGTTCCCTTACATTGTGCACATTTTCAAGTGATATTAAAGGAACACTATGTAAATTTTTTTATTTTGAAATTACATCTACATCTTGTATGTGTCCCCAGAAATGTATGCTAAGTTTACGCAATGTTTCTTCTGAAGGCAGAGTTTGGACCCCGGCAACACATGATGGCAAATAATGAGTGGATAAAAACTCCACTGTCCTATAAAAATATATAACTTAAAACAACATATTCCTGATAATGCTTAGGCCATGGAGAGACTTGTAACAAGCAGAGCTGTTTTAAAGTCTATTCTCTGAGCCACAGGAAGCCAGTGCAGGGACCTGAGGACTGGACTAATGTGGTCGTACTTCCTGGTTCTAGTCAGGACTAATGTGGTCGTACTTCCTGGTTCTAGTCAGGACTAATATGGTCGTACTTCCTGGTTCTAGTCAGGACTGGAGCTGCTGCATTTTGAATGTACTGCAGCTGTTTTACAGCCTGTTTGGACAGACCTGTGAGCAGGCCATTGCAGTAGTCTAACCTACTGGAGACAAATGCATGGATAAGAATCTCCAAGTCTGCTTTAGACACTATGTTTTTTATTCTGACAATGTTTATTTGTGGTAAAAAGCTGCTGATGTGTTCAGTATTACCCCTAGATTTCTGACCTGATTTAAAGGTTTTGGGGAGAGGGACTGGAGATGACGATCTCTCTTTGTTTCTGGGGACCAAAAACAACCGTTTCGTTTTTTCCGTGCTGTGTGCAGCCCCTGACTTGCTCTGATTTGATTAATGCAAGATCAATCAAACTTCATCGCACTACAGATGGCACGTAGTATGCTTTTGTATCATTGTACCAAAAATACAAAACTACAACATTCATAATAAATATGAATCACTTGTCACTGTAATCCATGTGCACTTAACAACCATCAATGGTTTTAATCCTAATTTTGGCTTGACCTTAATCACAAATCAATTCTGCAGCCATGAAAATGTGAAAGGGTTTTTCTTCCTTTGGTTCTGATGTGTTTCCTGTGTGTCCACAGATGAGTATAAGCTGAAGGGAGTGGAGGAGGTGAAGTACATGAGAGGAGAGGAAACCAGGGTGAACGCACGCAACCTGGAGAATCTGGTGAGCCACAAAAACACACAGCCCTGATAATCTGGTGAGACACACTAACGCACGTGCACACACAACAATACATAGACAACCTGTTGAACATGGTGAGAAACACACAATCGCACACACATTACCTGGAGGATCTCGTGAGACACGAACTATGCGGGAACTAGGCAGTTCTACACGGCCGTCATCGAGTCCATCTTCACCTCCTCCATCTCCTCCTCCATCACCTCCTCCATCATGTCCTCCATCACCTCCTCCATCACCTCCTCCATCACCTCCTCCATCACCTCCTCCATCACCTCCTCCATCACCTCCTCCATCTCCTCCTCCATCACCTCCTCCATCATGTCCTCCATCATGTCCTCCATCACCTCCTCCATCACCTCCTCCATCACCTCCTCCATCACCTCCTCCATCACCTCCTCCATCATGTCCTCCATCACCTCCTCCATCACCTCCTCCATCACCTCCTCCATCATGTCCTCCATCACCTCCTCCATCACCTCCTCCATCACCTCCTCCATCATGTCCTCCATCACCTCCTCCATCACCTCCTCCATCTCCTCCTCCATCTCCTCCTCCATCACCTCCTCCATCACCTCCTCATCACCTCCTCCATCTCCTCCTCCATCACCTCCTCCATCTCCTCCTCCATCACCTCCTCCATCACCTCTTCCATCACCTCCTCCATCACCTCCTCCATCTCCTCCTCCATCTCCTCCTCCATCACCTCCTCCATCTCCTCCTCCATCTCCTCCTCCATCACCTCCTCCATCTCCTCCTCCATCACCTCCTCCATCTCCTCCTCCATCACCTCTTCCATCACCTCCTCCATCACCTCCTCCATCACCTCCTCCATCATCTCCTCCATCACCTCCATGGGCGGCACGGTGGCTGAGTGGATAGCACTCTCGCCTCTCAGCAAGAAGGTCCTGGGTTCGAATCCCGGTCGGACCAGGGCCTTTCTGAGTGGAGTTTGCATGTTCTCCCCGTGTCTGCATAGGTTTCCTCCGGGTGCTCTGGTTTCCCCTACCACTAAAAATATGTACAATAGGTCTGGCATGTGCCTCCTGTTCGGCGACCCCGCTCCCATCTCTGTGTGGAGTGAGAGACAAGTGCCCAAAAAATAACAATTGTAAACCGCTTTGTGACTCTGGTCTGTGAAAGGCGCTATATAAATAAAGCTTACTTACTTACTTATACAATTCAGTTTTTACCAAAAGGCTTTTTGACCTCTTATCTAACAATCTGCCACATGTGTGCGTGCGCGTACATCCATTTGGATAAAAAAAAAATCCATATTGTATCAAATTTTTAAAAATGTATATATTAAAATACAATTTTTAGTAGACTCCTGATGGTGGACGACCCTTCACCAGGGGCTGTAGAGCTCGGCGCTGTGTGACCTCAACAATCACCTCTGACAACGCTGCTCAGAATGATCAGAGTTACATTGTTGAGTGTTTTTTCTATCAAACTGATACAAAGTATTTCTAATCAAACACATCACAGTCTATGATAATAAGTCCTCTATGAAGATGTTCTCCAGGAGCTTTTGGGATCAAAACAACTAATCGATTAAGTTACAGATTATCTAAATAATTATTAACTACCGTCCTGGTTAGGGTTATGTTTTGATTTACCATATAGATCTTTTTGGCTCTCTTTCATATTTGGCATCCATGTTTTATCTCTTCTATTCCTTCACCAGTACAAAACACTGTCACGTTGTTTAACTGAATTGTTTTTCTGCTTTTCAGGAGAAGAGCAATGCCCAGCACCGAGGAAAACCGCAGACAGAAGTCGGCAACAAGGCCAAGTAAGTCTTGTATATGTTCGGTATGTTCGAACATCAAGTCAAAAGCAATCATTTTTGTGTCGCTCAGTTTGTCAAAGTGGCTCGGGGAGAGTTTCTGCCACACGTTCACACATCCCAGTTTGGAAGAAAACATTTGAGTCCGTTTGTGGAGAAACTGCTAAAACGATCAGACAGCATTGCATTGTGTTCAAATCATAAGTGTGAAGTAAAGTCAGCCTTTTGTCTCGACGCCCCTGGCCAGCCCCCAGAAGATCTCCAAATATTCTTTTCTAATTATAGCCTTGTTAATGAAATAATGATTTCTTTGACAGCCGCTGAAGCAGGCTTTTGTGCTTTTGCTGAGCTTTGGGGGTGTAATGGAAAATTCCCATGACCAGACTTCCTCTTTCCCATTTCTTGTTGCAGTATTCACACGTCCGAGAGCCAACAGGAGTTCTTCAGGATGTTGGACGAGAAGATTGAGAAGGTATACCGACTTTCTCACCATTGTTTTATAGTTTTATGGATAAATAGCAGCTCAAAGACTTGCATTAAAAACATCATTAATTTGTATTTTGACGCATTTTATTTGACGTTTGTTTGGATATTTTCTCGTAGATTTGAATTCAATCACAACTGGATAAAATAGATTAATGTCTGGAATGGTGTGTTTTGGTCCAATGAAAACCCCTGGTGTGATCTCTTCAACTAACAATAACAATGGTTAATCTTTAAACAACATTTCCAAAAGAGAGCTACTTCTTCAGTGCATAAAAGGCAAAGAGCTACTCCTTTCGTCAGTTCTATAGTCTAGAAAGTGAGGTAATACTGTTTCATGGGTATTTCACTGTCAATCATTGAATATTTTGTTTATTTATAGAGCCCTTTACAGCACAATAAAATCACATAAATCCATTAAAACATTCATGGAATCAAAACATAAATGTCAAAAAGCATTCAATAAGTGCTACCGCGCCAATGAGGGTTAAAATTGTTAAAAGCCAGTCTGAATAAATACGTTTTGAGCCTCGAGTCAAGAACATTTAATTAACATTAGATATTCAAGAATTCTTTGAAATGTGTAAACCCTTTGAGGAGCTAGTATTTGGAATGGGTTGGTGAGCTTAGAACTTAACCCAGTATTCACCACAAGTACTTAACCGTGTCAGCTGCACAAGCTCATGGTTCCAGAGTGCTTGGAATCTGAGAATCTCAAAATCAACACCAACAATGTTAAATCACTGAATCTTGTGTTTTTAAGTGTTAGCAGTGTTTTGGTTAGAACCCCCGGAAATTAATCCGTTGCAATGTTTTGTCCCTAAACAAACGTGTATGTGTGTGTGTGTGTGTGTGTGTGTGTGCGCCTGTGTGTGTGTGTGTGTGTGTGCGCCTATATGTGCGCGTGTGTGTGTGCCTGTATGTGTGTGCGCCTGTGTGTGTGTGTGTGCGCCTGTATGTGTGTGTGTGTGCCTGTGTGTGTTTGTGTGCGCGCCTGTATGTGTGTGTGTGTGCGCCTGTATGTGTGTGTGTGTGTGCGCCTGTATGTGTGGAGAGGGAGGACGACTCTCTGCTTAAACTCTGCTGGGACTGGAGCTCTTAAACAGGAGGCCGCTCACAGCAGTGTAGAGATGGTTATTCGGTTATTCTATACCAGACAAGATTGTGATGTTAGTTCCTTCCATACTGGAGAAAAACACACACAGAACCTCACAGAACCTCACAGAACCTCACAGAACCTCACAGAACCTCACAGAACCTCACAAACCCCACAGACAATCTCAACACCTTAGACACTGCAGGCAACATAAATCTCACCCATGAAGAAGAGAACATCAAAGAAACAGCCTTTCTAGACCTGAGCAATAAGTTTACCTCAAACCCACCCAAACTGACCAGAACCAACAAAACACAGCACACAAATTAATAATGAAAATTACGAATCATAATACTTATACAGCGCAATGAATATGGATTATTATTATTATTATTAGGACATTATTCAAACAGGCAGATGGTCACAGTCGACAAGGACCGACAGGGGAAAGAGTCTCACACAGCACCGTCTTGCCTCTCAGCAAGAAAGTCCTGGGTTCGAATCCCGGTCGGACCATGGCCTTTCTGAGTGGAGTTTGCATGCTCTCCCTGTGTCTGCGTAGGTTTCCTTCGGGTGCTCCGGTTTCCCCTACCACTAAAAACATGCTCAATAGGTAAAATCCTCCAGCTCCGGTAGTCCTGACGAAGCCGAGCATCAACATCTGGAGATGGGTTCCCGGGCGCTGTTACTACGGCAACCACTGCTCCTGACGTAAGCCTTAGTGGCAACAGGATGGGTCAAATGCAGAGGACGAATTTCCCTATACGGGGATCAATAAAGTGCACATTTACATTTACAACAACAACTGCAAAAATGTCAATATCCCAGATGGGCCATAAACAAAATCAACGCTGCTGTATGTCCGGCGAGTAATAGAACGGACACAAAATTACTAAATCAGCCCACAACTATAGAATTGGTTTAGTAGTTATGAATTCACTTATGGAGCATATAGACTTGACTTATTTGAAAAACTCATTTAACAATAGCTGTCTTTAGGTGTTGAGTTACTCGTTCATTCAGGAGAGCATTGGGGGGGGGGGGGGGGGGGGGGGGTCCTCATTTATCTGACTAAACAAAACAACATGAAGCTGGCCCCCTGCAGCCTCTCCATCTCAGTCCCACATCTGCCGCACACTCATCGACTCTGCAGCCTCGTACCGCTGGCTTCAATCACAATCAAATGTTCACGGTTTTCTTTTTTCCCTACAGGGGAGAGACTACTGTTCGGAAGCGGAGGAAGACGGGACATAGCACAATGGCCTCCCCCTCCCCAAAACCCACTGAGTGAATGTGTGCCACCAGTCTAATCAGCGCCTACGGGACAAGACACTGGCTGCGCTTGTACAGAACACATATGTATTTTCTGAACAAATGATAGTATTTTAAAGTGGGATTAAACGAGAGAAGCCTTCCTCGACCGCCCTGGGAGCTTAAAAGGCCAAGGACGCGATGATTACAAGATGACTGCGTCGTTTGATTGCAGTATTTGCCGCCGTGACATCCCACAAAAGCCTTCTCTCCTCTCAGACAACATTATGTGCTTTTTTTTACCATCTGTCACATGCCGCTGTCAAAAGAAATGACTACAATCAGACACAAGTATGGAGTAAAAACAGCAGACGCACTTTGGAAAGACCAGAATCTCGTGATCGGCGTGGAATTGGGCTCTTCTGGTCGTGAAAAGCTGAATGAATGGACCATGCCTGGGTAAAGGGGGAAGAATATATTTGATATATTTTAACAGTGTGTATGGACGTTTAAGGGGGTGGTAGCGCCTGCCTTTTGAAGTCACAGACCTGTATTTGGTTTTATTTAACGCTGTTTCACATCCAATCATCTGTGTTGTTTAGTTTTATGACTTTTGTAATCGTGCGTCTATATCTGTGTTGCACCAAGGCTTCGTTATGTTTACGTCTGCGTGTCTCAGGCTGTCTCGTCCCTCCTTATATTTCTGCATAGCTCCGTCTAATATTGAGCCATATGTTGTAAATATTGGTGAAATTATCATAAATTGGCATGTACATATTCACAGTCTTTGCCGTTGTTTACCCCTTTATGTCGCCAGCAGACTCTCCCGTGCATTAGTCAATATATTTACAAAGTATTTTCTTTACTGGTCACACATAGACTCCAGGTTGAGCTTTTGGAAAATATGAGGAGGACAGTTTGCCATAGAGACGCTGATCATTTTTCTGCCATTTTTATTGGTTATTGGTTATGTTTTGTTGTATAATTTTAAATACTTTTTTTTTTTCTATTAAAAATAAAAAACGCAGAAGCTCCTTTAAAAGGCGTCACTGGTGTTTGCTGAGTAATGTGAGGCAGGAGGTCTGTTTTCCACGGGTCGCTGCTCCTGACCGCACTGAGCCCTGCTGGCCAATCCTGAGCACTGCACTTTTATGTCCACGTTTTAGGATTTCTCATGCTGTTTTTTTTCTTTTTAATTCATTCACAACAGCACAGGAAGAATGATGGGAGGAAAATATGGTTCCAAGGTCCTGAAAAGTTATGGCATTTGTGAGAATTTAAATCAGAATCCTTTTATTGCCATGTGAGTCACAAGAAGTCACAAACAAGGAAATGGCTTTGGCTCTCGGTGCAAACAAGTTAAAGCAGAATAACATCAAGAAGGCATGCATGAATACAAATCTACATACATTTCTTCCAAATTAAACCTATATTTTCAGTTTAAATCACTTCTACACTGTAAAATTAGTGGCCATTTCTGAACACAAGTTTGCAGCGGAGTTATTCATATGTTTTCAAGCAAATTACAGACTTTGAGAGCAGAATGTGTCTCTTTATGTGATAATCAGGTGAAAAATCTTTGCTTGTGACTATGAAAACCTTTATCTCATTCCTGGGCCAAGCCACATCCAACCAAAAGGCATACCAATGTTTCTGTCCGTATCAACCATGGTCTAAATATTGTATCTGGTGGGTTTGTCATAATCAGACAATAATTTCTTTCAAGATTTCTTTTAAAAATGGCTTCTTCTTTCCCACAGAGCATTTTACAACATGAACGCAACCTTTTTCCTCCATGTAAACTATGAACAAGCAGGTTTTGAAGGTGCAGGGTCCAACAGAGGCGTTATTTCTCTTTTAATAATTCCCAAGGCACTTCATTGCCAACATTTTTGTTTCCAGTATTGCCATAGTATCTTTAATGTAGGCCTATCGACAAAACCGTAGCATCTCCATCGATTGTTGTGATATACAGATATACCTCTGCAAAATGATATAGGATTTTGTTATTTTCAAAATGGAAAAGTCCTAAATGGTGAAATGGTCCCAAACGACTGCAGCTCACTCCAGCCCTGGCATACTATCAGAAATGAAAGAACAACAAAAAGGCTGCTCAGTCACAAATACGGGCACGAAAAAGTTCTTTCCACCTTGACGTAATAACCAATATAGAACCCACTCCTCCTCGCTGCTCGTGTTATTAGAGTACAGCGTGTTCTTGGCTCAGAGTAAGCAAGCCGTGTGTGAAAGTGTCCCAAAAATAACTTCAACTCAGGTGATGATTTGTTTTTGGTGGGTATTTTCCAAATAGAAAAGCCTTCAAAAGGCCCAGTGCCACAAATTCAGGTTTAGCCTTAAGTTTAAAGCTGGGGTACTTAACTTTTTTGTTGTTTCATAAATGTGTTGTTTATCTCAACAGATAGTAACATTATTATTATTTCATTCAAGTAACATTTAGAAAACAAATCACACTGAGAGCTGATTGGCCGAGCTAATCGTCTTTAATACAACATTGATACCAGATTCCTGTTCTGATTTTAGGATGAAATGTGAACACAATATTCAAGGTTTTTTTCAGACTTGATACTAATAATTAATATCTAATTTGATACTTTTGATGACCCTCGTTCAATGCCCTTTGGTTACATGTGTCTTATGCAGACACAAACAGTGAAATTACATTTTACATATATTTATAATTTAATTTATAGAAGTATTTCACATGGATTTTGATAAATACAATTATAGATATTGGCAAAGATTTGTGCTTCTTTAGAAAAATATAAAACTCACAATATTGTGAGTTTAATACTTTTCTCAATTTCTCCAATTCTGACCTTGGCCTGCAAACTTTACAACAAAAACATCCATCCATCCATCCATTTTCTACCCTTTAATCCATTTCTGGGTCAGGGGGGTGGCAGTCAGAGATGCCACCCAAGTCTCATAGCACCAGCCCCTCACTGACCCTCTGCAGGTGGTGAGTCCACAGGAGGACGGCTGCTCTCTGAGTGTGAGCATAGCCTTGATCTTTCAGTGGGGGCTTTGGGCAAAGTGGGGTTAGTGTCTTGCCCAAGGACACAACGACAGCAGTCATCAGTGGGAGTCGGTGGAGAAGGTGTAGAGGTGGGAATTGAACCCACGACCTTCTGGCCTTAAGGCCAATGCTCTACCAACTGAGCTACTGTCGCCCTCAACAAAAACACATGAGCTTAAAAACACAACTACAGTTGTGTTTTTAAGATTAGACAAGAGATCATTTATTCTTCCCACAGTGAGGACATTTAAATGTGTAGTAGTGAGTTATATAATTTACATATAGTGCAGTATAATATGTAGCTAAAGTGACATTGTTCAGTGGACATTCTGAAGTTGCACATTGCACATGATTTTTGTATTTATTTATTTAAAGATGAATGACATTTACAGGCTCCTACAATGAAGGAAAGACCTACGTAACCTCTCCTTCACACAGCGAGGGTGAATAAGTCTGTCACTGAAGCTGCTCTCCAGAGCAAGAGCGTGTCCTGCAGGGGGCGACAGTCATGGTCCAGCATAGATGTTAGTTTGCTCAGGACCCTCCTGACCCCCACCTGCTGCACTGTGTCCAAGGAACAGCCCAGGACTGAGCTGGACTTCCTGATGACCTTGTCCAGCTTCTTCCTGTCCCTCTCTGGCTGTTCCAGCAGACCACACCGTACAAGAGGCTGATGCCACCACAGAGTCATAGAAGGTCTTCAGGAGTGGCCCCTGCACTCCAAAAGTGCACCTCAGCAGGTAGAGCCGGCTCTGGCCCTTCTTGAAGAGGGCGTCTGTGTTATGAGTCCAGTCCAGTTTTAGTTCAGATGATGGGGCTGGCGCCGTAGAGTGGCGTCTACGGAAATCCACCACCATCTCCTTGGTCTTCCCCGCGTTGATGAGGAGGTGGTTCCGCTGACACCAGTCCACAAAGTCTTGTATAACTCCTCTGTACTCTGTGTCATCGTCCTCGGAGCTGAGTCCGATGATGGCAGAGTCGTCAGAGAACTTCTGTAGAACACAACCGTCCGTGTTGTTTCTGAAGTCCGCAGTGTAGAGGGTGAAGAGGATCCACTAAGATAGTTCGTAGTGGAGAGAAGCTGCGGCTGGATGGTGTTAAAGGCACCAGAGAATCCTGGATAAAGGCGGAATCCTCACAGTGGAGCTGGGTTTCTCCAGGTGGGACAGGGAGCGGTGGAGGAGGGAGATGATGGCGTCAAAAGCTTTGTGCTTGAAAGTCTGCAGACAGGAATGTAATGTTTTGTTCATATTTTGGAAATGATTATTGCACAACCACACAGACCAAGGCCACACAAAGCACTTAACATAATTGGCGTACCAGTAATTCCCATTCTCTCCACACATGATGGAGACAGGAGCGAGTTGCGAAACACCTGGCACATCGGAGCCTCCGACCATCTTCATCGGGTCACTCACTCATCATGTTCATGTACGTGTTGAATGACTTTCAAGCATAACTCACACGCTTTTAAAGTGAGGTAAAAAAAAAATTATAATCCACTATATAGATATGTACCTGGCGCCACCTCCATGTGAAACCCAGATCCTGTCAGACCTCTGAGGCTAAGTAGGTCAGGACCTGGTTAGTACTGTGATGGAAGACCTTTGGGTGCCTCATTAGGACGGCTGTAAAGTGCCACAATGTTGTTATGTCCTTGGGCAAGACACTTCACCCACATTGTTAAGAAGGAGTTTGGTGTGTGAGTGAATGGTTGGTGTTGGTCAGAGGGGCCAACAACTCCTACTGGTTGTGTATGGAGTGAATGAATAATGCTGTGAAACTTAATTGCATTTGGATCATTGAAAACAGCAGCAAAACATGACAAAATATGACTTAAGGGGACTATAAACTTCTCCTTTACAGAATCACTTTGATACTATTTATAGCTGTTGCCACCATGTCTTAATTCACTCAAATTAGCTTTAATATTATCTAACTGTTCATCTGTCAATCAATCCAATGC